GCTTCTGTAATTGGAAATATTTTTTAAGCGAAATTTGTACCGAGAGAGCTTGGAGTCTTAATTTGCGACCGGAGAAACGCTCCAAAGTGCAATACTGTGTCCCTTTCGAGTGGGACAATGGGCTAAATCAATTCGCCAAATTGTTTTCTTTAAGTAACTGAGTAGGTATATGAAGGCATGTATCCAGTTGTTTATACAACTTTGAAACAAGTGTAGATCCGTTTTATAGATTTTTTTAAGTGCAAAAACTTTTATGATTAAAGGTGAAGAAATCGAATGTCGTAAAATTACTAATATTTGTTTCATGTTTTGTAAGAATTTTGATAAAGCTTTTTCCTTTCAAACGTCAGTCTTTTTTTGGCAGGGCAATCCTAATGCCTTTGTAAGTGGTGAGAATTTTTGGGTGTGGCAGTTTTAGAGAACTAACTCCACCTTCAACCGGCAGTTTCTTTAGCAAATGAAAATTTTTGTTACGTTGGAAGGAGAGCAACCTGAAATTATTATTTTTTAAATGGTAGGTCGCACCAAAAAAATTACTTATGCTTACTTGAGAAAGAAAAGTTCACTGATTAAATGAGAAGTGGATTCAGCTTGGAACTAGAAAGCTTCAAATACTGTATGGCACGGTTACTCAGAGTGTGTCTGGGACTACATTAAAAAACACAAGTGATGCCTGAGATGGAGGCAGAGACGATGACGTGGAGAGATGGAGCAGCTGGGGACTTTAGACCCAGAGAGGGAGAGGAGCTGTGTGCTGACCATCGGGGCCGCGTAGAGGCAGGCTTGCAGGGTATATACCCTGTGGTTGGTTGATGGTGCATAGAGGGGATTGTAACCATGTTAATGAAACTAAATAAGATAGAATGAATGTAAAACTAATGTTCTCCCATGTAAACTATCACAATAAAACATTAAAAAAACAAAACAAAACCACAGATCCTTGATATTTAGTTGATTTCAACTCAGAGTGATCCCTTATGGGATTTCTGTGGTTGTGAATTGAATTTTATGGGAGCAAAAAGCCTCTTTCTCCATTGGAGCAGCAGTGCGTTTGAATTGCTGACCCTGTAGTTAGCAATCTAGTGTTTATCCTACAGCGCCACAGTAGGGCTCCTACATTTAAGGGATGGGGAAATAAATTCCTTGAATCTTCTTTAAAAAATTAAATATTTTAAAACTATATAACGTTAAGTGCTGTTGAGTTGGTTCCAACTCATAGCGACCTTTTAAGGGGTTTTCGGAGTCCTGGTGTGGCACTGTAGGATAAGCACTGTATTGCTAACGCCAGACCGTCTGTAGTTTACATGGGAGAACATTAGCTTTACATTCATCCTGTCGTATATGTTTCATTGTCAAATCCATTTTTGAACCACGACCTTTGAGCACTCCAGTGCTTATCCTACAGAGCTACATCAGGACTCCACAGTCATAACTGGGGCAGAGGGAGATACCTAACTCCAGTTTAGGTGAACTCCTAAAAGGTGTTACAGAATGAAGACAGGTATTTATGAATGTGATTTTGACAAGTTTATCAACACGTTTAATCACCTCAGCACTGGACTGCTAACCACAAGGTTGATGGTTCAAACCTACCAGCAGCTCCTTGGGAATCCTAAAACAACGCGTCAGAACTGACTCCATAGCACTTAACAAGAAAGGATGATTGAAGGAAAATAGGATCTAGGGCCCAATATATAGCATAACTTAGAAAAGATGGTTGTTTTTCAAAAACATAATAGATTTCACTGATATTAGTGTAATATAAAAACTATTTCCAGATTCTTTTACATTATTACTTTATAAAAGCTAGCCTAATTAGAGCAATGTAAATGTATACTGTTGTTAAGTGCTGTCCAGTTGTTTTTGACTCATAGCAACCCTGTCTGTATGGGGTTCCCATGCAGCAGCTGGTAAGTTTGAACTGCCCACCTTGCAGTTCAAACCTATCTTTCAGTCCAGTGCTTATCCTGCAGGGCCACAATATAATGTATAAGTAATTGAAACTATAGTTTCTAAAAAATGAGAATTCTGGTTGTCTTTGAGGATCTTTCTTCCCAGTTCATCCAGTCTAACACCTTCCTTAATTAAGCATGATTTGTATCCCTCCCTTGGTCATAACCCTTAATGATTTTCTACCTGTCTCATCAAGTTGCCGTAACACCTCATACTTGAAACAAGATCATGCTCCTTTCCATCTATAAACAATCTCCTTGACGGCTTCTTTCACTTCATACATCTAAAGTCCTCATCTGTTTTGGAGAATCCTGTTCTGCAAGACTTCCAGTTATTATGTCTGTTCAGCATCCTTGCTCTCCTTATTCCTATTTTCATAGAAAATATGAAAAAATTCCTTTTACACCAAAGTATCTTTCAGTAGACCTGATATGCTGTAGGATAAGCACTGGACTGCTAATTACAAGGTTGGCAGTTCAAACCACTAGCTGCTCCTTGGAAACCCTGCACAGAGTTGCTATGATTCAGAACAGACTCAAAGGCACTTAACAATAATCATTCAGTAAATGCTTCAAAAATCAGATTGAAGATGCTAATTTAATGGAGTCAGGAATCTCATAATTTGGAAATCCTCAGATGTATGCAAAGGCAATCTATCCATCCAAGATAAAGAATGCTTACACTACACCAATGCATACAATCTCTTACATTTTACCTAAGCTTTTTAATCTTTTGAGAGTTGAAAGTTTGTTCTATAAAGACAGCTACAGCCTCATTTGTTTTGGGGGAAAGTTAATCATAATGATAATGTGCTGGACTGCAAAGCCTTTTGAACCGCAACGTCAGCAGTTCAAACTCACCAGCTGCTCGGAAACCCTATACAGGGTCGCTGTGGGTAGGAACTGACTCGGAAGCACTTAACAACAGCAACAATTACCAGTGTTTATTCCAACCATACCTTTAGTTTAGCAGGAAAAAAGCACCGCAATTTCCTTACTTTGGAACAATTGACTGTGATGTGGAACACTCCCTATCGCTGAAAGGCTTGAGGTTTCTGGTGGGAGATTAAACTCATAGATGAAAATCTAACTTCTTTGAAAAATAGTAAACAGATAGTAACTTGCCCAGAATTATGCTGACCATCTTTATAGAATTAAGACTAAAACCTGAATCCCATAGGTCTAAGAACCCTTGTTGCTTCTAAAGGATACAATATAGGGTCTTTCTTTTTTCCTCTCTGAACCTTTTAGAAGCTCACCAAGATCATTTCTGAAATCATGTACTCCCTTAATGTGATTTTTTCATTATCATCACACATTATTTTAACTTCAGAGTCATAACGATGGAATGAAAACTATGTGACTCATTTCATAAGTGACCATCTATTCTTTATAGTTGTTTCCCCAACTGTATTTTAAGCTTCTTGAAAATAGGACCCATGCTTTACATTTAATTCTTAAATACTTTTCAACACAAATGACATTTGATACACATTAGTATATTAATCTATCATACTAAAGTTTGATGATTAAGTACTGAATTAGCTAATGAAAAGTTCTGTGGGAGATCACTGTCATTGTTGACCAACAGCAGTGCCTTTATAACCATTTTAAATGTCTGATGCATTTGCAAATTCAAAAAAACTTGAAATAAAAAGTAAAAGGAAATACATCAAGATTCAAAAGTACATGTTATTTTACAACCAAAAGTAAGCCATTTTAAAAGAGGACCCCTACCAAATTCATAATATGAAATTTTGTAGATTAAAAGTCAATGTGTTAATCATTTGACCTGTAAGTCTCATCTTTGTTCTTAAAATAACTAGCATTTCTGCGTCATTAGGAAAGGCTGGTGTTGTCAAACAAAAACTATTTTTAAATATGTGCTCTGGTTTGCAAAGGCATTGCATACTAAAAATACTGAAGAGAAGGAATGATAAATATGCCCCACCCATCTGATCTCAACCACTCACCACAGGTGCTTGAATACATTTAAGGGGTCAGGGAATAATACTGATATATTCTTATAACGACTCTGTATGTACAACAGAACAAAACACTGCCAGTTCTGCACCATCCTCATGGTTGTTGTGTGTGAGCAGCCCACTGTTGCAGCTTCTGTGTGATCCCATCTCACTGAGCACCTTCCTCTTTTGCACGGCTCCTCTGCTTTACCAAGCAAGATGTCTTTCTCTAGGGGCTGATCCTTCCTGATAATATGTCCAAAGTATATTAAGACAAAGTCTCGCCATATTAGTTCTAAGGAGTATTTTGGGATCTGTCCCCGAAAAGTGCCACAAAATGAAAATAAGGCAATTGTTAATGGTATAGATAAGTTATGAAGGGTAGCCTCCTAAACAGTGATTAAAGGAAACCAGGAATATTGGAAGGAGGAGTTAAGTGTGTCAGTTCTGACTCAGAGACACCCTGCATAGACTTTCTGAGGCTTTTAAAAATCTTAGCAGGAGCAGAAAACATCATGTTTATCATGCGGAGCGGAGCGGCTAGTGGGCTTGAACCATGCACCTTGTGGTTTGCAGCTTAGTTCAGGCAGCCTGGTGCTTATTGTATGGAGCCACTGCGTTCGCTTGGGAGGAGTATATATCATTAATTCTGAGGCCACATCATCCCACAACACATTCTAGTGCACAGTCAAAAATTGCTTTATTGAATGGTTTGGAATTTGTGGTTATCCTTTGTGGAAATCCTTAAAAACAGATTTAGCTTTTTACAAATTTATTTATTTTTTGAAGCAAAGTATTTCTGTAATTAGTCTTGGTGAGGTGGTCTAATCTAAGGAAAGAATGTGAAAAGTAACACATTGTATTCAAAGGGTCACTTTGTAGTGCTGAGATCTAGGTAGTAGTTCATTCTTTGCAGTCCATAGACTTATTTTTAGAGCAAGGGCATAGCATTTTGCTAAATCATAGCTCCGTGTTGTTTTCAGAACGTAAGCTTTAAAATTGTGACCCTGGTCAGAGTGAAGTCAGTAGTGCCTATTTTAGACCTGCTTGGAAGAATATAACTTAATACAGTGTCTCCACTCTTGGCTGGTTAGAGGTTTAGCAGACTACCATCACTACCTCAACTCGGAAGGATGGTATGGTAAAATTTTATTATCTGATGAATTTAGAATTTAAACTGCAACAAATTTTTATCATCTCTTAAGCACTGAGTGTTTAAAGGAAAATTGCCTTTTCATTTTAGGTATTTGTGAACATTTCTTAACTTAAATTTTATAGGAATAAATTTGAGATTATTAGAGAGCAAAGGTAGTTTTCAGATCTCTGAAGATACTTTCTAAATAGGAATTTATTTTTAACTAAATTTTGCTAAAAACTGTAGTGTGGCTTTATGCAAGAAATTGGTTTCCATATAGTGTAAATGTCTAGACTTTTTTCAGTTTCCTGTGCTATATTTAGTCTTTCAACAAATACATATTTACATATTTTGATTTGAAAAGTGAGGGTACAAGAAATGTTAGTGGAATGAAGTACGATAGCCGACAGTGGAGATGAGAAAATGACAACCTGCTCCACCTGGTGGGCTGCCCCCACGTCCGCCAGAGGAGGGGACGGTTCTTGTGGGCTAGCACGGCAGAAGGCTGCCCCCAGTGAGAATACGTTTGTATTTTCCATACCCATGTGCTAAGGGATAGAAACAGCACCTGACTTCCTAAAGAACAGTAATAAGACAGTCACAGGTAGGCTGCACGGCAGTACTGGGAGTACATAATCTTTGTGACATGCTGTGAACTTTGAAGTAGTGTGAGCTGCAGTTTGGAATTTGAAGTTAGTGGTGGATTATAAAACATCACAACTAAGAGTAAGTAAACTCAAAGTGAGTCTGTTTTTTCATTTTAGTTGTTGTTGTTAAGTGCCATCGAGTTGGTTCTGACCATAACGACCCTGTATAGGGTTTCCGAGGAGCAGCTGGTGAGCTTGAACCGCTGACCTTGCAGTTCAAACGACTTTGCAGTCTGGTGCATTAATCCACAGTGCCACACCAGGAGCTTGGTTCAATTAATAATTCTTTCCATCAGTTGAGAAATTTTTGGCAAGTGATACTTTCTTGGTATATAGTTTTTAGACACATCCCTCTCTAATTAGCACAGGAGTACTATAGAAAGGCTAATCAGGTTTACTTTTGTTAATCATTATTTTGATTTAAACTTAAGAAATCCTAGTTGATTTTGTTTTCTTGTATTTTCTTTCCAAATTAGGATTTAACTACCACCATGTCGAGCAAAAGGGCAAAGACCAAGACCACCAAGAAGCGCCCTCAGCGCGCAACATCCAATGTGTTTGCCATGTTTGACCAGTCACAGATTCAGGAGTTCAAAGAGGCCTTCAACATGATTGATCAGAATAGAGACGGCTTCATCGACAAGGAAGATCTGCATGATATGCTTGCCTCCCTGGGTAATAATCAGTTTTGATATTAATATATTAGAATATTTATAATGCCTTTAATGTTTATGTCTTAAGCCTTCTGAAGCAAGTGGAATGATGCATATACCCTACTAAGAGTCAGAAAGCATTCAGAGCAGTAGTCCTCAAACAGTGAAAACACTATATACCCTACTAAGAGTCAGAAAGCATTCAGAGCAGTAGTCCTCAAACAGTGAAAACACTCATTGTGATGATTGTTGTTGTTAAGTGCCATTGAGTCCATTCTATCTCATCGTGACCCTGTATAGGGTGTTCTAAGGAATGACTGGTAGGTTTGAACTCCTAACCTAGTTCTGTGTAAGGACTCCTAATGTGGCACTGTAGAATAAGCACTGGATTGCTAACTGTAAAGTCGGCAGGTCAAACCCACCAGCCACTCCTCAGAATCCTGTACGGGGTCACTGTGAGTCAGGACTGACTCAACAACACTTAACAACAACAATCCCAATGGTTTGCAAGGGAAACCCTACACGGGATTGCTATGAATAGGAACCAACTCAATAGCACTTAACAACAATCCCAATGGACTAGCAGCCTCTTAATGCAGGACTTTAGTCATTGATTAGATTTTTTTTCCCTTGAGTAGTTTTGCTATCATGAATGTAATTGTGCAGTTGATAGTATTTCTTGCTAAAATAGTCACTGTAATAATTGGTGTGTATTAAAATTAAAAATATAGCCTTTTTTTTCCTTAGGGAAAAATCCACTTGATGATTATCTGGATGCCATGATGAATGAGGCTCCAGGCCCCATCAATTTCACCATGTTCCTTACGATGTTTGGGGAGAAGCTAAATGGGACCGATCCGGAAGATGTCATCAGAAATGCTTTTGCTTGCTTTGATGAAGAAGCAACTGGTAAATCAGAAATAGCCTTTTTTACAAAGTGATTTCATTTTTTGCTGTGATAACTAAAATACATAGTAACTTGAAGTATGGTAACATAACACACTCAAGTTTATACCACACCTGTTTTAAACAGGATGCTTCTTCAGCATGTTCATCACGTACTTCTGGGCCTTTAACTACATGGTGGTGGTGATGTGCCATCTAGTCAGTTCTGACTGATAAGAGTTTCTGAGGCTGTCAATCGATTTCCTGTGAGCAGAAAGCCTCGTTTTTCTCCTGAGGAGTGGCTGGTGGATTTGAACTGCTGGCCTCGAGGCTAGGAACCCAATGTGTAACCCACTACACTACCAAGTAGTTTATAAATCAGTAGATTGTACTTTAAATCTCTTTGGAGATTATTCCTTCACTAGACTGTTAGCTCCACAAAAGTTAGGTTCTCAGTAAATGTGTGTTTAATGAATAACTTTTACCAGAGTAATCTTGGATAAAGTGTTATTGCTCTTGTCTGTCACCAGTACAATCTTTTTGTTTACCAGGTATCACTCTACTTTAAAATCATTTAAGTCTGATTTCTAGCTTCTAAGTTAGCAAAGGAGAGTTTATGCTCTGTAATCAAACCACTTGATTTCAAATGGCTGTTCTAGTTGTTTAATTTGGGGCAAGTTAATGTCTCTTCAGATTGTTTGCTTATTTGTAGAGAAAAAAAAAACTACATAAATACTTGATCCTTGGCAAATAATGAGTCTATGAGGAGAAATATAAGGGAATATTTTTGTTAAACCCCTAACTCACACAGAGTGGCTGCTTTTAGAAAAGGAAGGCACAGCCTTGGGTTACCTGCATTCATTGATCACCTTGAATACTGGGTGGTTGTGAGGCTGATAAAACATCGTCTCTGCACGCTGGCTTTCAGAGTCCCCACAGTATGGCTTCATTCTGCCTTTCAGATAGTCAGACTCTCCTCTCATGTAATCTTCTCTCCTTCCAGGCCTCACGCACTGTACAGTTACAGTACTGTCTTAATTGTCCACCAACATTTCTGCCTCTGTGCCTTTGTCATCATACTACCATCTCCTCCATCCTTTTAAAATCAGACTCCTTAACAGCTCTTTTAGGGAGGGGTGGGATAGGGTGGAGTGGGACTAAGGTAGGCAGGAGTCTTGACCTGAATTTTCATACTATTTTCTCATGACTTCTGTCCCACGAAGGTGCTTCATATGCTATTTGTGACATTTTAGTTGTGTACTCATTATCAGTTGTCCCTGCAGTGATGAGTCTTAAATAGTGGTATGCCCACCCTTGTACTTACTCCCCCTTCTAGCACCTACCCGTCCCTTGCACACAGTGGATAGTTGGAGGACTTGCCTGGAGACAAGAATTTGTTTCCACAAGCTACAGTTGATAAAATTGGGGAACTTTTTTTGGATTTAGGGTTGAATTAGCATAAAAACCTACCAACCAATCTAGTGTTTATGTTGTGAAACGAGCTTATGCTTTAAACTCATCTTACAGTAACTATCTTATCAATGTATTAGCTTAATTTCATTATTTGTAGTTATACAAGTGACAGTCAGGTTTTCCTTTCTGTTTACTTTAATGAATTTCAAAATCTCTGCTGCTTACTTATACCACCTTCGGTATAGAACACTTTAGCAGTTCTCAGCTCTGTTGCACATTGGAATTACTTGGAGGAGAGCCTTTTACAAATACTAATTCCAGATAATAAATCAGGGGTGGTACCTGGTCATTTTTATGTTCCTCAGGCGAGTGCAGTCAGGTTTCATGAAAATCCTGGTGTCCAGAATTGAGAGTAAAAAGCAGTTTCCCCAGTGCCTCGCAGTGAGTCTGCCACATAGTTGCTGCTGGAATATTTATTCAGTGTTTTGGCATATCCTATGCCTGGTCAATTTTGTTATTAAATCTGAATTAAATATGCAAAGTATAAAAAATTTCATTTTACAAATGAGAAAACCACAATTAGAAGTAAAGTGCCTAAAATAACACTCCAACTCCAATGTTGCTTCCACTGCAGCACTTCGCTGATGCTTATGGAATGGCACTGATTTTACTGTAGCAGGAAACCCATTTGCTTGTAAAGTGTGTGAGACCATTCCTACTACTTCAAGGAACTGTAGATTGCCGAGTCATATTTTTTGCTCTTTATTTTTTCCCATTAGCAAAAGATCATAAGATGACTATGGAGGCCAGCTGATGGAACAGAGTAAAGCCCCCTAACAGTTGGGTACTTTTCTAGGCAACAGACTGCTGAGTCTGGCTTCAGCCTGTGGAAAGCTTGCATTTCATATATTTGTATGCTTACAGTTGTTACCATATAGGGTATGTTTAGTCAAGAGTAGATAGTTCTTGTAACGAATCCTCAAGAGTTGTATGTATGACCCCATGTGCTTTTATTCTCTAGGCACCATTCAGGAAGATTACCTGAGGGAGCTGCTGACTACCATGGGAGATCGGTTTACAGATGAGGAAGTGGATGAGCTGTACAGAGAAGCACCTATTGACAAAAAGGGGAATTTCAATTACATTGAGTTCACACGCATCCTTAAACATGGAGCAAAAGACAAGGATGACTGAACGAACTTCATATTCCAGCCAAGCGTTCCTTGTTGCCACTATGGGTATTTCTGAGACTTTCTCTTAGAGCTTATTGCATGCCCTTAGTTTTACAGCTTTTGCCTTTTTGTTATATTTATTCTCAGCCATTTTGGGCACATCTCTTTAATCAGACTGGAAATGGGACTTTTTTTTTAAAGTTCAAGTAAATAGAACTGGGAGAAAGACCATTGTCTTATCAAAACCTAAAGGAAAATATTCTCAAATTTTTCTGATTTACTGGAATTTTTGCATTTTTTGGTAATAAAAACTTTTTGAATAAACATTATGATTCAGGTCACCTAATGTTAATTATTTTTGTCATTTTCAGAATAGAAAGAGGATGATGCAACTTCTCACTCTTGTCACTCCCAAATAACTCCAGCCTACACAGAATCAATATATTTTCTCAAAGTTACTCCTTTTTTTCTGAACCCTAATTAAACTTTATGATGAAATGCTTTCTTGTTTAAAACTTATTTACCAAAACTGGCTTTTCCTCCACCAGTTTCATCTTCCAGATTAGCGTTATTGAGTGCTGTCAAGTTGGTTCCAACTCATAGCGACCCTGTGTAGGATTTCCAAGGAGCAGCTGTTGGGTTTGAACCGCTGACCTTGAGTTTAGCAGTTCAGTGCTTATCTTACAGCACCACACCAGGAACATGGTGGTGGTGGTTGTGTGCTGTGGAGGCGGTTCTAACTCATAGCGACCCTGTACAGGGTTTCCGAGGCTGTAAATCTTTACGGGAGCAGAAAGCCTCATCTTTCTCCCGCGGAACAGCTGGTAGTTTTGAACTGCTGACGTTGTGGTTCACAGCCCGATTTGTAACCACTACGCTACCAGAACTCCTTCACCTTAGATGAAGTAAATTCTAGGAAACGCTCTGGTTGCTGGCCACCTCTCCCGTGCTTCTTCTAGTTTTCCTAACAAACATATCTTCTCTATTCTTGTTCATCCCTCCTGCTCCTGAAAAAAAAATCCTTTTTAACTGCCCTAATCTGGTGGTCTGGTGTGCTGCTGGACTGCTAATCACAGGTTGTTGGTTCAGACCCACCAACCATTCCTCGGAAACCCTGTTTGGTCACTTTGCGTTGGAATGGCTCTTAACAATTTATCTGGAGTCCTGGTGTGGCTCTGTAGAATCACCTCTGGACTGTTAATCAGAAGGTCTGGAGGTTCAAAACCACCAGCTGCTCCTCAGAAATCCTATGGAGAGTTGCTGTGTATTAGAACTGACTCAGTGGCAATTAACAACAACAATCTGGAGTCCTGGTGTAATACTGTAGGATAAGGTGGGTGGTTAAAATTCACCAACTGCTATGAATCAACTTGACAGCACTTAACAACAACAACAAAACAATCAGGTTTCCTATGCCTTGTGTGGTGATATGGAGGTGTGGATTAATGAATGCACTAGACTACAAGGTTGATTTGAACCACAAGGTCGACGGTTCAAGCTCACCAGCTGCTCCTTGGAAACCCTATACAAGGTTGCTATGAGTCAGAGCTGACTTGACAGTACACACCACCACCAACAAAATGCTTTGTAAAAATAATTTCTTACAGAATTTGCATGTGTTAGGATAGCTTAATAGCTTTAAACGCTTAAGTCTAACATACCTGCCAACATTTCCCACTAATCTGTTCTAAATTTTTGTTCATTGTTTCATGTCATTTTTAAAATTAGACCAGTCCACTGAATTTTTTAATTTGTCCTAGTTTAAAAAATTCATTTAGCCCTAAGGGCTCTGTGGAATGCTTCTACCAAAAGTCAAATTTTAAATTTTATTTCAGAGTGTTGGAAATACAGTATAGTATTATTACTGTAGACTTCTAGTATGGCACAGTAAGAAACCCATGTGGGTGGTTCAAACCCACCAGCTGTTCCTATTCAGAGTCACTATGAATCAGTACTGACTCAATGGCACATACCTACACCATTATTATTGTATGCAGTTTTTCTTTAACACAACAATCCCTATGGAAATACTGTGTTTATGTAGAGAGTACCCATGAGTCCATGTATGAAATTTGGATATTCCTGACCTCAGAATCAAAATAGCTGAAGCTTCATGCCTGGTAAAGTGAGATCATCATTTCAGTTATAAAAATAACTTCTCCTATTTACAGAAATACCGGACTGTTTCAGAGGTATTCAGGGAGTGGTAGACTGTTCGTTCTCTTTGCGCTTCAAAAATCTGACTCTCAAAAATGGTTTCATGAGTTTAAGAAAGATCTTGAATCATTGAAACCTGTTAATTAAAGAGTTGACAATTAGTCTAATCAAAGTAATTGAAAATTAATATCCAGATTTTCTGTTAATGTTAACAGAACTTTCCTTGGGTTAAACTATTACCTCATTCTACAAACAATTACCAAATACCCTTTGCTTCCAACAAGACAGGTGAGCTAGGTTTTTTAACTTGTGAGGTCAGCTTCGGAGAAAGACCAGTAACAAAGCCCCTCCGGTCCCCTTCAAGACTAGAATCCTCAAGCCTGCCCAAATTATGTGCTTTTTATGTGGTTTAAACAAAGTATCTGTGGTGATGGTGTTAAAATTTTGTTTGTTGAATTTCCACTTTAACTGGAAAAAAAGTAATCACATATGTTTTGTTAATAAATCTCTAATGAAAAACTGATAGCTACATTATTTCCACTATAGAAAGAAGAGCTCAGCTACTGAAATTTTCGCTGACAGCGCTCCCATTCTCACTATAGATAACCAGCCTCCTAGGAACAATTGATAAGTTTCTGCTGAAGGAAATAAATCTTAATAATCAGAGTCTCTGCTTAGCAACTAGACTATGTACAAGCAACTGTGATTGCTGATAGAAAGTCAGTAGTGTTTACTGAAGAGGTTTGGAAAGCCAGTGTCTAAAAACTCCATGATGAAAGTCATACTTGAAGCAAAACTTTCAAAAGTTCTGATGAAAACATCCAAAGGGGAACCAGCATCCTTGCCCACTTTGTATTGTCATGTGGATTCTAGTGCCCAGATCCTATTTGATCAAGTGTCCTGTGATGTGGAGAGAGTAGGAGTTGAAGAATGCTAATAGGACAAAAGGGAGGAAAGGCAGACCATAAGAGGCAAGTGAAAGCCAACTTTAAAAAGGAAAGGCAACCATTTTCTACCAAGCTTAAACAGTAGGGTAACACCTAGACTCAGTGACGAACAAACACACTTAAGGATCAAATAGAAGGTGATAAAGGGGGTTGATGAGGAAACTAGAGTCCAAAAAACTCAAGGGTAAGGAGATGAATCAATGGTAAAACCACAAAAAAGATAAAAGTAGGGGCAGGTTTAAATGAAGCCTCGAGATTTAGAAAATCTAGAGCTTTAAGGTAGAGATTTTAGTGTAGAAGCCAGAGTGCAACATGGGATGGTGAGCAGTGCTCAAGTTTGGGATCAGGAAGACCTGCATTTAAATCTCATTTTTGCTTCAGTATGGCTTTATCATATTTAACCCCTTGGATTTATTCACTTGTAAAATGTAAGTATTGCTATTGGGTTACGTTATATGCCGTGGAGTCGGTTCCGATTCACAGCGACCCTGTACAGGGTTTCTGAGGCTGTAAATCTTTACGGGAGCAGAAAGCCTCATCTTTCTCCCGCAGAACAGCTGGTAGTTTCGAACTGCTGACCTTGAGATTCGCAGCCCGATTCGTAATCACTATAGGTATATAACTATTAATACATACAGCAGCATGGGTCCTAGAGCCAGAAACCCATTTGACTAGCTTTTCAGCCTCAGAAGCCCTCTCTATAGAGTCACTATGAGCCGGAATCAATGGCACTGGGTTTGGCTTGTTGGTTAGGTTCTTGAGGAACCCTAGTGGCCTACTGAGTTAAGTGTTGCACTGCTAACCCAAGAGGTTGGCAGTTTGAAACCACAAGCCACTTCAAGGCACTCCATGAAGATTTTCGACTTCAGAAACCCTATGGAGCTATATGCTGTCAGGAGTGATGGCAGTGGGTTTGGTTTTCTTAGTTTCCTCACTTGTAAAATAGGAAGGAACATTGCCCCCCAGATTTGTTGTGAAAATTAGAAACATGAAAGGTAAAGTAACTGACACATAGGTATTCAAGTAAAAGTCAGGAAGCTTGACAGTGAAGGGAAGCTTTCAGGGTATGTCTAGCAGGATAGGGTGAAGCCTATTAGCAGGCTGAGAGGAAGAAGGACACAAAACAGAATGAAGTAGACCAAGGAGATAGGGACAGAACCTACAACACATGGTACAGAATTATCATTAGAAGAATAAAGATGCAACACTGGAAACACCTATGCCAAGACATTTGGAAGGCAGCTACCTAGCCAACTGATTGGAAGAGATCCTTATTTGTGCCTATTCCAAAGAGAGGTGACCCAACGGAATGTGGAAATCACTGGGCAGTATCAAGATCACATGCATTAAAATATATGAAATTAAAATTTTGCTAAAGATCATTCAAAAACGGCTGCAACAGTACATTCAAAGGAACTGCCAGAGGTTCAAGTCAGATGATGATGCAGAATGAGGGATATCATTGCTGATGTCAGCTGGATCTTGGCTAAAAGCAGAGGATACCAAAAAGATGTTTGCCTGTCCTTTGTTGACTATGGAAAGACTTTTGACTGTGTGGACTATGACAAGCTATGGTAGCATTGTGAAGAATGAGAATTCCAGAACCCTTAAATCGTTACCAAGAGGAACCTGTACAAAGACCAAGAGGCAGTTCAAACAGAACAAGGAGGCACTGGATGGTTTAAAATCAGGAAAGGTGTGTACCATACTTACTCAGTTTGTATGTTGAGCAAATCTGAGAAACTGGATTATATGAAGAATGTGGCATCAGGATTGGAGGAAGACTCAACTCATTGCTTTCTGAAAGAGGATGTAAAATACATACTGATGAAAATCAAATACTTTGGGCTTCAGTATGGGTTGCCCCTCAATATAAACAAAAATCCTCACCACTGGATCAATAAAGTAACATGATAAATAGAAGATTGAAGTTGTCTAAGACATCTTTTTGGTGGGATGCACTATCAACACTCATGGAAGCAGCAGTCAAGAAATCAAATGGCATATTGCATTAGACAAATCTGCTGCATAAGACTTTTTAAAAAGATACCAGTCAGTTTGAGGATTAAGGTGCACCTGCTCCAAGCCTCATACATATATATATGAAAGTTGGACAATGAATAAGGAAGACAGTAGAAGAATTGGTGCATTTGAGTTTTGGTGTTGGAGAAATTGAAATTACCATGGACTACTAGAAGAACAAACAATCTGTGTTGGAAGAAGTACAGCCAAAATGTTCCTTAGAAGCCAAATGGAGAGACTTTGTCTCATCTACTTGGGACATGTTATCAGGAGCGACCAGTCCCTGGAGAAGGACATCATGCTTGGTAAAGTGTGGAGGATCAGTGAAAAAGAGGAAGACCTCCAATGAGATGGATTGAGAGTGACAGCAACAAAGGACTCAAGAGTAGTCACAATTGTTAGGATGGTGCAGGACTAGGCAGTGTTTTGTTCTGTTGTGCGAAGGGCTGTTATGAGTTGGAACTGAATTGATGACACCTAATAACACTTAAGACTGAAGATAGCAGTTTAGTGGTAGTTGGAGATTTAAGTAAAAGGCTGAGGTTAGAATGGTCTATGTTGTTTGTTATCGTTAAGTGCCATCAAATCTGTTCTGACTCATAGTTATCCCGTATAGGGTTTTTGAGGAGTGTCTGGTGGGTTTGAACTACCAACCTTGTGGTTAACAGTCCAGTGCTTATCCTACAGTGCCACATCAGGACTGCCAACTGACACAACAGTTCTTTAATACAGGGGTTGGTGAACATCCAGCCTGCAACTCAGGGACCCTGTACAGGGTTTCCTAAGAGCAGCTGGTTTGTTTGAACCACTAACTTTGTGACCCTGCCGTCCAGTGCTCATCCTATAGCATCACACCAGGACTCCAGCTATCAAGTTGTTAAGTGTCATCAAGTTGTTTCTGACTCATAGCGACCCTGTATGGGTTTCCTAGGAGCAGCTGGTGAGTTTGGACTACTGACCTTGCAGTTCAAACTGACCTACCTTGTGGTTCAGTGCTTATCCTATAGTGCCATACCAGGACTCCCAGTAGGGGTGAGTTAATTAAATGTTTGATCAACTAGAGCAGGCTTATTTTTAGGGTGATAATTTTGTATTTCCTGCAAATGTTTTAAATTTGGCAGAAAAAAGTTTCCCCACCCCTTCTTTAGTATAACAACAGTCTAGTTTGAAATAATTTAATGTCAACTATAGTTAGCCTTTCTGGAGTCCTGGTGTCACTCTTTTGGATTAGCACTGGACTGCAACTACAAGGTTAGTGGTTCAAATCCACCAACCACTCCTCAGAAACTCTATACAGGGTGCTATGACTCAGAACTAATTCGATGACACTTAACAACATGTTATCAATTAGATTCGTGCCTAGCAGATAAAATAGTTTTAGATTTCCAGAGTAGGTCCAGTATACCAGACTTTATGCTTCATTTGGACCTTAAGCATACAATTTACTTCCCCGAACCTGGTTGTATCTTTGCTGTCCTTGAGTTGCTGGAGTCATCCCACACTGAAGAAATTGCCTAGTTTTCCCAGTGTGCCTATCCTAGCTCCACATGCTCTTACAATATCAAGTTCTTATGTTCTTTAATTCTAAATTTCTTCTGTGACTACTGAAGTCCTGGTGTGGCCCTGTGGGATAATGCTCTGGACCACAGAGTCGGTTTGAACTGCAGGATCGGTGGTTCAAACCAGGTGTTCCTCGGAAATCCTATACAGGGTTGCTGTGAGTCAGAATTAGCTTGATGTCACTTAAAAACAATGTGATTATTCAAATAGCAAGAGTCATGCATTGACTTTTTAAAAATCCAGTATTTATCCATGTTTTATAGCTGAGATGGGTGTGTGATTTCTGTTTTTAATTTAATGTTTCATGTTTGCTAAGTGCTGTCGAGTTGGTTCCAACTTAGAGCAACCCTGTATAGAGTTTCTGAGGAGTGACTGGTGGAGTTGAACCACGGGCCTTTTGTTTAACAGTCCAGTGCATATCCTACAGCACCACACCAGGGCTCCACGTTTGGGCATGTTAAGTGCCTTGGAGTCAGTTCTAACTCGTAGCCACCCTGTACAGAGTTTCTGAGGAGTGGCTGGTGAGTTTGAATTGCTGACCTTGTGGTTCAAACTGACCAGTGCTTATCCTACAGTGCCACATCAGGACTATTATTTTGGCATAGGCACCATTTTTTGGGTTTATTTTTGGTTTTGAATGTAGGTTGTCCCCAACTTACAATGGGGTTCTGTTCTAACAGTTCTAAGTCAGTTCTGATGTAAGTTGAATACCTCCTTGTTTTGTTTTGATTATTGGCTTTCATTATCAGTATTTAATAAATCTAATCTTTGTTGTGGGTGGTTGGAAACATTAAATATAAACTTAGCTGCATTTTAATACATTCATATATAATAAAAATTGACAACGTTTGCATTTTGTCATTTGTAATACAAACTCCACCCACGTTCAGGAGGTTCTAGACCACCTGAATTATCCCTGGAAATGAGGATGGTATTTCTAGTCAGAAAATGAGTGAATAGTGTCTGTTTACTAAGGATGGTTAAGTACTGTCAAGTTGGTTTTGACTCATAACCACCCTGTATAGGGTTTCTGAGGCTGTAAATCTTTGCAGAAGCAGAAAGCCTCATCTTTCTCCAGGGGAGTGGCTGGTGGGCTTAAACTGCCAACCTTATGGTTAGCAGTCCAGTGCTTATACTACAGAGTCACAACGCTCCCTTACAAAGGACATTGTTAGTGCTGTCTAGTCGTTTCCAACTCATAGTGACTATGTATAAGGTTTTCAAGGAGCAGCTGGTGAGTTTAAACCTTGCAGTTAGCTATCCCGTGCTTATCCTACAGTGCCACACCAGGATTCCACACATGTATTTAGTGACTATCGTGTTGGGCAGGAAACTATCCTGAAGGTGATAATCACAAATGATCTCTAGAACAATACCTGAATAATGTAACCTCAGTTTCTTTTGTATCATCAAAGATAGGATGTGTATGTGTAATTTTAATGTTTTCTCTTTAATGACTCCAAGGGAAGCAAATAATTTAAATTAAAATTTCTTGTGCTTGTAAGGTAAATGAAAATAGTTATAGGCTGTGGCCAAGGCCCATACCAAACCAAACTCATTGCCATAGAGAGGGTTCCACTTATAGAAACTCTGTAGGACAGAGTGGAACTGCTCCTTAGGGTCCCCTGGGTTATAAAAGTTTGCAGACTGCCTCATCTGTCGCCCTTAGCTGGCTGGTGGGGCTGACCTTTCAGTTAGCAGCCCATCACTTTTACTCCCTCAGGGCCACCCAACGAACAGGTAAACCTAATAATTTCCAGGTAGACAGGGAAGGGTAAGAGTAGCTGTGGCGCTGAAGGATAAAGCACTGGATCGCAGGGTCAATGTGAACCACAAGGTCAGCGGTTCGAGCTCACCAGCCGCTCAGATAGGCTAACCAGGGCTCCTATGAATTGGAACCGACTGGACGGCACTTAACTAGGGTGAACTGAGCCCAAGTGAGGCGCTGTACAGTAACCGCAAGGTCGAAAGGCCAAACCCTCAAATCACTTCTCAGAAACCCTCTACAGGGTCGCTATGAGTCGGAACCGACTTGAGGGCACTTAAAACGGATGAACTATGTAGCTGGGGCTGCAATTTTAAAAAATGATTTGAATAGCAGGCCGGAACCTGCCCGGCCGCCAACCTGTCTTACTTCTCCAAATACTGCACAGACGTCATGAGTCTGTGTGAACTGCACTTTTATTAACTACACCTGTCAGTCCCGGGGAGGACCCTTCAGGCGCTTGGGTCCCGCAAACCTGAAGGTTTGAGGCTCCGCCCGGCGGGGGCAGACGGCGACGCCCAGCTTCCTCCTCCTCCGATTCAGGAATGCGGAAGGGGTGCGCGACGCCACCACCTAGAGATCCCAGGCAGGGGCGCAGAACTCCGCTGCACCCGCACTACGGAGTGCTGCGACAGACTGCCAGAGGGAGAAGAAAGGACGACCAAGCCGCGTGCTTTGTTCGTTCGCTCCAAGCCCTCCGTTTCTTGGCGGACATTCCGATCTGTGTCCTTGCGCTAGAGAAAGCCAACAGTACCCCTATTCCGATTGGACCCGCGCGCCTTCCGTTCCGCCTCTGGAGGCAGGAAGTGCCGGGCTCCCGCTGTCGCGCCGCTGCCCCTCTTCGTCACTTGTCGCCTCGCGCAGGGCAGCCCAGTTCTGGTGTCTGGCGGCGGTGAGTGGCGCTAGCCCCCGCGCTCGATAGCATCCCTGCTCCCCGCACTCCCACATCGCGCCGGCAGCCCCAGTGGGCAGGGCAGGGCGGCTGGGGGACCTGTCTGTCACACCCTGTGGTCGGTTCGGGCCCCGCCGAAGGGGAGAGGAGTGGACGCGAGGCAGGAGGTGCCGGGAGGAGGGTCAGCGATGCGGGTCAGGCACCGATCTGGGCCTGGAACCGAGGGGCATCGTCCCGCTGACATAGGTGTGGCCGGGTCCTGCCCGCTGTGTCTGCCGGTTTTGCGTCACCCGTACGGCTTTGCACACCTGGTGCGGAGACTACGGCCCCGGTTCGTGGATTAGGGCCTTCAGGGAGTGCCCTTTTTCTCCGTGACTCACGCCGCGCTAGATGCTTTAGGAGATAGTCTCTGTCTTGTAGTACTTGGTTCTTGCCTTGGGTAAAGTGTCAAAGGTCCGGGGCAGGAGTTCATGGCTTGTATAGGCTGAAATGCAGTGATTTCCTTAAGAGTTGGAACCCGCTCGGTCTCTTGCATCGCTTAAACTTTTAATGTATTCGTGTTGATTGAAGAAAAGGGCAAATACAGAAAGCAGAAAAGGCTTCCGGAAGACACAACTGGGAGCGCATTGCAATCCTTAGATCTAGACCTAGGAGAGAGAGTTTAGTGGCTCGTTCTTTCTGCCTGGATATGTGATAAGCATAACACGAGCGAAAACTCAAAAGGTGAGAATTAATTTTGTCCCATGGAAAGGAGACAGGGGCGAGACCAACCTGAATGGAATAACATTTGGAAATAAGGGTAGGTAGGTAAGTGGTGCCATTTGAATGGGCGTTTTGAAAACCTGTCTAGAAAAGAGAAGATTATGTAAGAGGCTTTACAGAGTCACTTTGTATTCTTGACTAAGAGAGAAATTTGAAGAAAGGTGTTTAAAGGATTAGTTTGGCAGTCTTTTTATAGGGTAAATTTAGGTAAGAGAAAACAGCATTTTAGAATTCAGTTGTACCTTTTCAATTGTCTTGTGAAACCCTTTTTTTGATCATTGAAACTAAAGCCCAGTGTGGTGAGGGAATTTATCCAAGGTCACTCGAGGGACTCATTTTTTTCCTCTTAGGTGGATAGTCCTGGACCTGAAACCAACTGCACATCTTTTTGTTTGTTCAGGGTCCATCTAAGGAGCTCTGGTAGCATAGTGGTTACGAATCGGGCTGCTAACCTCAGGGTCAGCAGTTCGAAACTACCAGCTGTTCCGCGGGAGAAAGATGAGGCTTTCTGCTCCCTCGGAAACCCTGTACAGGGTCACTATGAGTCGGAGCCGACTCCACGACACCTAACAGCAACAACAGGGTCCATCTAATGAAACAATTTCATTATTTATCTATTTTACTCGTGATTTGAATAAAAGTTAACAGAACAAATTTGTTTTCCTTTGAACAGTTTTTGTTTATTTCGTTTCATGACATCAGTTGTAGCCCTCACCGGTGTATAGCACTCTTCTTCTCACTTCTTCCCAGTGTTAATTTTTTCCATTCATATTTTATTTTGATCCCTTTCAGAGCTATCAGCCATGGTAGCTGGCTGGGCACCATCTAGTTATTCTGGTCTCAGGGTCATGGAGACTAAGGTTCACATGGGCCATCAGTCCTTTGAACTAAGTGTTTCCATGTGTCTTTAATTTTCTTCACTCTTCTTTGCTACAGATAGGGAGAGAGTTAGGAAACAGCGTCTATTGCTGATCCCATATTCAGTTGTGCTTTGATGAGGATGAACTACATCTTGTGAGGGCTAGATCCCCAGATGGTTAGAAAAGATAAGAAGACCACCTGAATGGGCCTGTTGTTGTCAAGTGCAACTCAGAGCCACCCTGTATAGGCTTTCTGAGAAGTGGCTGGTGGATTTGAACTATTGACCTTGTGGTTAGCAGTCTAGTACCTACCCTGTAGCAACATGTCAGGGCTCCTGAATGGGGATAGTTGTCCCTTTATCCCAGGACTCAAAGACACCAGATACCTATGGAAGATTTTCATTGTATTCTCTTTGTCAACATCTTTAATTGGAATCTTCCTTTTACACTTGTGTGATGGCATTGCTTGCTAACCCCACCTAATTATCCACATTTTCATGGTAAAGAATATCAGCAATGTGTAGGATAAGGAGTCCTAGTGTGATGCTGTAGGATAAGCACTTGCCCACAAGGTCAGTTTGAACCGCAAGGTCGTCAGTTCAAACTCACCAGCTTCGTCTCAGAAACCCTATATGGGGTCGCTATGGGTTGGAATCAATTTGACGGCATTAACAAACAACATATGTGGGATGGAGTTTCTGGGTGGTGAAAATGGTTAAGCACCCAGCTGCTAACAGATTGATGATTTAGATCCACCCAGAGGTACCTTAGAAGAAAAGCCTTGAAAGATCACTGTCATTGAAAACCTAGGGTGTACAGTTGTACTCTGAAACACATGGGAGACTTGTAATTTTGGGTTTTTTTTCGGGGAGTGGTGTGGGAGTGATACCAGCTTCTGGAGTCTGATGGCCTATATACAGATTCTGGCTCTTGTGAGTAAGATTAAAATGTTCTATTTGATGTTGTTCATTACCGTGGAGTTGATTCCTATGCATAGTGACCCTGCACAGCCTTAAACAGGACAGAGAGAAAACAAAGGCAGTTATCTAGCATGATGTACTCAATTCAGAGGCCGATGAAATCCTCTGACTCACAGTCATGTTTATTATATATGGGAGGACATCAAAAAGATTGTGAAAAAATTCCATTATCATTTCAATTCTGCTTTTCCTTGAACTTTTTGAAGAATCTTCATAATAGAGGACAAAGAAAATCAACACAGGACGATGATTTGCAGTAGCTCAATTTCTCACTGCCACAGGTGGGACTACGGAGCAGGGAAAGGACCATGATTGGAATACATACATAACTGCAGGCTTTTAAGGTTACAGGATTAGTGCTGAGGTTTTATTTGACTACATGGTGACTGTGCTACCCTTAGTCATAGTCACAAGACAATACCAGGCCCCACAACCTTGGTGTGGAGTAACCGCTAGACTGCAAGGTTGGCGGTTCAAATCCACCAGCTGCTTCTTTGGAACCCTATACATGATCACGATGAGTGGGAAACATTGGTCTGATGGTTTTTGGTAATTGCCCAGGCAAGCTCCCTAGTTCTTTGAGCACTTTCCTGCAAACAATTTAATCTACACTCTTCTTGAGGACAAACTGCCTTTCATTGGACTTGCTGGGACTTGCCTAAGCATAATCACATTGTTAAGAGCCAGCAAACACGGGGAAGTAATAAAGAAATCCATCTAAACTGATTTCCAGACTCAAAAACGCTGTAGACTACAACCTTCCATAAACCAAGTGTTTTTAGAATTTAAACTCTCATACATCCCCTCCTCTTGATCATGAATTTTATTTAAAATTCTCTGCCCTTATTTAGGTTGGTATGGTTTCTTCTGCACAGATTGCTTATTTTAGGACAAGCTTCTAAGACCCTAGAGAGTATTCTTTTTGATAACTGGGTACCATATAATTTCTTTACTATGCTGTACTATAGCACTCAATCTTCAGTGTTCATATGAGGGTAAGTATGGAATGGGGCCTATACTTGACCTGTGGTTAGGATATATCTTAGCTATGTAACATGATTCACATCATGGGCAGCTTATTAGATTTCTGAGAAATTATATTAAAAGTAACTTTCATGCAACATTTTTCTAATAATTACCATTAATCCAGTCAATAGTTCAAATTAAAGTACTAATGAGAAAAATGTAAAGGAAATTTTTGGTTAAAACACTTGGAGAGGTTTACCTATACAAATTAATAAAAAGTACTAGAACAAAATTACTTCAAAAATATGGAGGGCTAGGCTTAAAGCAATAAATTCAATAACATTCTCTAAGAGAACGCTATTGGTAGACAGATCCCAAGAGCATGTAAGACAAAAGTAGTGACTATGAAAACAACAAAAATACCTATGTTGTTGTTAAGTGCCATTGAGTCAGTTCCAACTCATAGTGCCCCTAGATAGGGTTCCCAAGGAGCAGCTGGTGGGTTTGAATTGCTGATCTGGTGGTGTACAGTCCAGTGCTGATCTGCAGCACCACACCAGAAGTCCTATATTGTTGTTGTTTAAGTGCCATTGAATTAGTTCTGACCCATAGTGACCTTGTATAGGGTTTCCAAGGAGCAACTGGTGAACTTGAACCACTGACCTTTCAGTCCAGCGCATACTCCCACAGCACTACACCAAGGCTCTATTGTTGTTGCTGTTAAGTACCTTCAAGTTGATTCTGACCCATAGGACCCTGTATAGGTTTCCAAGGAGCAGCTGTCCTTAATGGCTGACAGTTTTGCAAGACAGTCTAAAGCCCAGTTGGCCTAAGGCATGAAACTACCAAAAGCAGAAGAAAAACATTCAGGTAGAGTTTTAAACAATACCTGATTATCAAGATACTATAGAATGGACCCTTCCTGTTGGAAGTCTGTTGGTCTACTTCAAACACGCTAGGTGTTCTTCCCAAGGGCAAGCTGCCTCTCCTTTGTTTACCCATTCTTGTAATTACCTAATGCTGCTAGGATGGAACTACCACAAGTGGACAGCTTTAGCAAACAAAACTATGTTCTCAGTTTAGAAGACTAAAGTCCAGAGTGTCTACTCAAGAGGAAGGCTTGCATCTTTTGGCCGACATTCCTTACAGATTTCTATGTGTCTTGGCATCAATGTTGTTGTTGTTGTTAAGTGCCTTCGAGTCGGAGCCGACCCATAGCGACCCTGTACAGGGTTTCCGAGGGTGTAAATCTTTACGGGAGTAGAAAGCCTCATCTTTCTCCCGCGGAGCGGCTGGTAGTTTCGAACCACTGACCTTAAGGTTCGATATATCCCTGGATTTAGGAGCTACGTAGTGTAGGAGCCCCAGGTCCAAAGGACACAACTCCATTCCTCGCTCTTCTTCCTTGGTGGTAATAGATCCCTCTTTCTCT